TGCCAGTCAGTGTAACCAATACTACTAATACAGTGTAAAGGTAAAGGTAAAGGTAAAGGGACTCCTGACCATTAGGTCCAGTCGTGGCTGACTCTGGGGTTGCGGTGCTCATCTCGCTTTATTGCCCGAGGGAGCCGGCGTACAGCTTCCGGGTCATGTGGCCAGCATGACTAAGCCGCTTCTTGTAATTACAGATCCTCTTGTAATTCAATGCCCAAAAATCTGAACGTTGTTACCCTCTCCACACAGACCCCATCAATCAAAAGTGGCTGGACTTTTAAAACAATAAAAGGTTTAAAATGTACAGTAAAGGCAAATCAAAAATTATTTCACAGCCGCAAGAAAGCCCCGCTTTGGGCAATACCCCAGTGAAACCTAATGAAGGAGCTACCATCAGATTGTTTCCTTGGAAAACTTTTTCCTGTTAAGCTACATTTGGCATTTTGTACTATTTCTTAAATTCCTCCGTTCTCAGCTTCCAGTCCTTGAGTTTAGTTTACTATGACAATAGCTCGAAATCACTCTTTGCAATGCCTTAAAATGTCCAATGAGCACTTTCCCCCTCTGCTTAGATAGAAATAACCCATCAAGTAACCATCTTGGGAAAGCAAAATTGCTCCAATATCACTTGCTATAGATTTTAGCTTAGAAGTTGTAGCTCCTCGCGAGGGCTTTAAATCAAGAGCAGCTTTTATTAAACGAGAGCCTCTTTATAAGCCAGTGTTGTACGAGTCGCTTACTGAAAATGGCATCTGAGCTAAAAAATAAAAAGGGAAAGTCCAAGGCCAGGCAGGTGGCTTTGAATAAAAGTGGGGTCTCGCTGCTTAAGGTTATTCATACCTGAATCCTTACACCTGGGGTGGTGAAGCTGTGGCCCTGCAGATGTCCTCCTTGGCCACAGAGTTGGCCACCCCAGCTATGCACCCATTTCCAACACAGATGTCTACATCTTGTGCAGTAGCACCTGGTGCCCCGTGGCACTGGTGGGGTCGAAAGCAGGCAGGGCCAACTAATTCTGGTTTTTCACACCATCCTGCTCCCTGCTAAGTTCTGCAAGGGCAAAACTGAAACTAAGGAGGAGGGAACTGTCTGCCTGGGCCACTCTCTGGGTCAGTTGTAAGAAGGCGGGCAGTTGTGAGTGTGGGAATGTTTAGGGATGCAGGGAGGATATATTGTCTAAGATATCCTATCCCAACTTGTCTTTACAAGTTCAACAAAATCAGCAGAGTTAACATTCCCCTTTTTCCTAAACACACGCACAGCAGATAGCTTGATCAAACTCGTTAGAATCTCTGTAAATATTTCCTGGTGTTTTCCCCGTTTAATCCCTCCTAAAATAAGACGCTACACAGTCTTCTGTAAAGCATTAAACATTTACTCACAAGTAATCATCTGTTCACACAAAGGTTCCCAGAAGGCAGACTTAAAAGGTTAAAACATAGTTTAAATGTGGTGACTATCTCCTTATGGGAGAAAGCCCCCCCCCCTTTTCTTCTCTTGGCCTGGAGCCAAAGGAGCATCTTAGTAGTGCTGTTGTTAAGATGGCATCAATAGAGACAAGAGAGACAAGTTGGTCGCCAGCCTGTGGTTCTGGTTCTTTCTACTTCAGGAGAGGCCACGCCCATCTCAAGTTACACATAGGAAGTTTTGTCTCAGTCCTGGAAAGCAGGAAGTTCCGGCTAGAGGATGAGATAACCTTCATGTCTACTCTAGCCATGTTGTGTTTGACTGCACCTGATTCTTACATCCCACAGTGAGCTGGCTAGTGGCAGACTGAGGCTGGTGGGGGAGTGCCCTATTCTCCCTAATGTATCAGCCTCCGCTGATCCTGTTGGATGGGAGAAGAATTCACAGAACTCAGATTCAAAAGCAGACTCAGATCAGATCATGTTGAGAATCTGCAGTCCAGCAGATTCCAACGAAGGTGGTCCCAGGGTACCAGAATTACCTCCATCCTTTTAACTGTTTCTTTTCTTTTTAAAAAAAGTTCCAATGTGCATCATCCATCTAGCGCAGGGATCCTCATCTCTGTGCACTTTGAAATCCTAGTCGCCCTGGGAGCAACAGGACTTGATCATCATCATCATTTTTAATTTGTATACCGCCTTTCTATCTTACAATACTCAAGGCGGTTTACAAGAAACAAAAAATGTACATCTTATAACAATCTGATGCGATACAAAAATGTGATAATAAAACATAACTTTAAAATAGGCAACCTCCATCAAAAAAGTAACATTCAACAATCATTAGAATAGTATAAAATAATAATATCAACATATAAAAGTTAAACAGAAACCCACTCAACAGTTACAATAATATCTAAACTATAATCAATAAAACAACGGCAAGCCGCAGTACATAAAACAATACAATACACATTTAGATGCAGAGGGTGGAGCAAGGCAGGTGGAAGGAGGCCTTGCCTGATGGAGTCTCTCTCCTCACTTGATGATGTTCCATTGCTCTTAGAGGGGGATGCAGGTTAAGATCATGGCTGATCCTTGTTTATACGTAGAGCCAACCATGATTCTTCCATACGATTTCCTCTGAGAGTGACAGAAGCACATGGCGGCATGGGTCTTTTAAAGAAGAATTGGAGAGAGAGAGAGAGAGAGAGATGCACATTACACACAGGTCTTGCACTCCAAACACGGTGCTCCCTCAGGAAATTGTTTCCTCGGCAAACATTTGCATAACGAGTCAACGATTTCTATTGATTCCTATGGGGGAATTTCTAATGCGTTCCTGACCATGGCATCTTGACCCTGAATTGACAAAAAAGAACCTGGGAAAGCCCCCTGAATCCTTGCAAAAGGCAAACTAAGAAGGGAAAAAATGCTCTCATTTGTCCAGTCTCTTCCCCTTTCTCCTACTCACCTTCCCTCCCATCATGGTTTCTGGTGAAACGGCAGTGTGAACCAGCAAAACACAAAAAAGTAAGGCTTATTTAAGGCTGCTTATTCGTTTGCAGTACTGCACGCAGGTCCAGCTCTTCGTATATCTGAATCTGTGGTGTGAATAGTGAGGTTTGGTTACTAATTCTTCACATTTGGATAAGTGAATTTTCTATCATGAGCATTTGGATAGTGGGACCTTCATGTAGTTAAGAGGACAGAGGCAACCCTGCAACCACTGGACCTCCTCATATTTGTTTATTTTAACTTCACAATTTTGTGCAGATTTTAAAAGACTTTTGCCTTTAAAATCTGCATTGCATCTAGATGGGATGAAATTAGTTCTGTCCCCATGTAGAACTGGGACTGCCTGAGAGTCATTGGGTCCATCTATACTTACTCTCCAGTGTTATGTAGAGTAAATAGTACCATCAACTTGACTTTTTGAACATGGTCACAGAAACGCAATTGGAATAGCACTGTGTGTTTTACACACATAGCGCTTAAAACTTAGAAACACGAATGGCAGCAAAAACCAAAATCTGTTGTGATTCAGAAGCTTTTGTGGTGATAAGCTGTAAATCAAGGTTCTGCTTGCTATGCAGCAAGCAAAATTGGAATTAACGGTTCATCTACCATCACTAAGCTAGGTTGCTGCTGCCCTCTGCTGCCCAAACAGTAGAACAAACCTGTTTAAAGAAAAACATTTGAAAAAATCTGAAAAAGTACCTGGCATTTATATGTAAGGATGGAGGAGAAATTTGATTCAGCTCACTTTTAACTGATTTGCAGCTTCCAAAACGATACAAGAATCAAAACACAGCCAGCCTTTGAAATTCTCTGAATTTTGCAACCCCAAAATATGCACAAAATTAATATACTGGCATAAAGTGTGTGTAACAATACATGTATTTGTGAAAATAAGTTACAAACACACACTAGGTTAGGGGAAATTAATTTGCAGAAATTTGCCTCCAAATTGCATACATACATACGTACGTGTGTGTGAGAGAGAGAGAGAGAGAAAGAGAGAGAGAGAGAGAGAGAGAGAGGAGAAATTTGCAGTAAAATGCTAGCGAATTTTCATGAGGACTTTCAGTTTTTTAAAAAATTGCAAACTGATGTGGAAATGTGAAGGGGTGAGCTTAAGACTGGAAAGCGGGGAGAAACAGAAAATTGTCAGATTTTCCCATCCCCATTTGAAGACACAGAATTTCTGGAGCGTCCAAAGTATTTCATATACTTACTCGTAAGGACATAAGAGGGACACGGGTGGCGCTGTGGGTTAAAGCACAGAGCCTAGGACTTGGCGATCAGAAGGTCGGCGGTTCAAATCCCTGTGACGGGGTGAGCTACCATTCCTCAGTCCCTGCTCCTGCCAACCTAGCAGTTCGAAAGCACATCAAAGTTCAAGTAGATAAATAGGTACCGCTCCAGTGGGAAGGTAAACAGCGTTTCCGTGCGCTGCTCTTAGTCATGCTGGCCGCATGACCCAGAAGCTGTACGCCGGCTCCCTCGGCCAATAAAGCGAGATGAGCGCCACAACCCCAGAGTTGGCCACGACTGGACCTAATGGTCAAGGGTCCCTTTCCCTTTAAGGACATAAGAAGAGCCTGTCAGCTGGATCCGACCAAGGGCCCATTGAGTCCAACATCCTCTTTCCCACAGTGAGCTGCTATGGGAAGCCCCCGAGTGGGACATGAAGGTAATGGACCTCTCTCACTCTTGTTCCCCTGGCAACTAGTATTCAGAACCATGCTGCCTTTGATACGGGAGGTAATATATAGCCATTGCGACCAGTTGCCATTGACAGCCTTATTGTCCATGAATAATCCTTATCCTTTCGATAATCCCTTTGAAACAACCCTCTAAGATAGTAATACTAATTCCACATATTGCAGATGAGAGCCTGAAGCTCAGAGATAAGCATTGTGCAAACATTATCCTGAATGCATGTGGAGAGGCAGTCAGAGTGTGCTAGCTGGCCCATCCTCTAACCATTTCCAGCGTAATGTCCGAAAGAGCCTGTGGACATACAAGCCTTATGCTATGACCACTCATCCCTCCAGCACAGTTTCAGACAGGGCCTCTCCCATCCCCACCTGGAGATGCTGGGAGTTGAACCTAGGATCTTCAGCATGCAAGGCAGATGCCCTAGCCTTGAGCTGTGGTCCTTCTCCAAAGGCACGGTTGGAGAGCCTTTGAGAAACAGCATCCCCACTTGGCTATTTCAGAAATCGATGCAAGTGTGGGGATAGGGTGGGTCCAGCAGACACAAGTGGGCCCAATCCAGCTCCACCATCTATGTATGCTCCGAGGAACGCTGCTTCAGAGATAGGGAACATGACATCCTCCAGATGTTGTTGGACTACAGCTCCCATCATCCCTGACCATTGGCTGAGGCTGATAGGAGTTGGAGTCCAGCAACATCTCAGAGGCATAATATTGGCTGCTTCTGCTGTGGATCCATGGTTGAGATGAAACTTGAAGCTGGGACATTTCATTTCTTTGTTGTTGTTGTTGTTGTTGTTGTTGTTGTTGTATATAATTGTTATTGAATTTTCTGTTTCACAATTTAACATCCTTAAAATATCAATGACTTCCCCTCTTCTCTTTCCATGGTTCATTTTGCATATCATAAATCCCTGCATATTTTACAAAAACTAAGCCATTATTGCATCCATCAAAACTTATTTACACTGTTGAATTTATCTTAATGCTGCCAACGTTTTCAAGTGTACACAATTTTCCCCCCCCATATATTCAGTAAATGTTTTCCAATCTACTCTAAACATATGTTCTTCTTGTTCTCTTACTCTATGTGTTAAGTCTGCAAGCTGCACATATTCCATCAGCCTAAGTTGCCATTCTTCTTTAGCTGGGACCTCGCTGGTTTTCCATTTTTGGGATAACAAAACACCAGGCCACAGTAGTGGCATACATAAATAACCTTTCTTTTTCCTTCACTGATTATCTCCTGCTTTTTCTCCCCAAGAGAAACCCAAAGTGGCTAAGAGCAAAGCAGAAAATAACTCAGTTAACATGAAATATCAGTCAGCAGAGCATCTTTCAAAACATAAGGCCAGTCAAAGCCATATTCATGTTGAATGTAGAATACATTAAATCCATAATGAACTAAGGCAAAAAACAAGGGTCTTCCCTTAGGCCTTGATCTCTCCAGGTCCCTGTGCTTGGCCTAATTTGTGCAGTGATGGGAGCTGCTTCTCTATGAGTGGCCCCATGGCACTGAAGAGTGCATCTGGCTAGCCCTCCCTGATTCCTCAAATGCTACAGTTCCTGGGGTGCCCATATTGTTGGCCCTCCAACTCCCATTTCTGTTGACCATTGGTGATGCTGGATGGGGCAGTTGGGAGCTGAGTCCAGCAATATCTGGTGCTCCTCATCCCTAAGGTAGTGGAAGGACCGTGGCTCCCTGCTGGAGCTCATGCTTTGCATGCAGAACGTCCCGGGTTGCAGGACAAGGAGCGCTTCCGCTTGAAACAATGCCACAAGGACAGTGAGTGGGAGTCCCATTCTGAAAACAAGCCATGCGAGCTGAGCTTTCAGAAGTGCACATATCCGCGGCAGTTCAGATCTCCGCAGAGAGGATGAGCTCTGGATAATCCCTGCAGTGGCATGTGGTGTAACAATACCGTTATCTCTCTCTCTCTTCTTTTTCAGCACCCTTACCCGACAGAGGACGAGAAAAGGCAGATAGCAGCACAGACTAACCTCACGCTTTTGCAAGTCAACAACTGGTGAGTGAATTATCGACCTCCTCTTTGGAAATTGAAGAAGAAAGGTTTTTCTGACCTACCGTCTTATCCTCTCGTCTCAAGTTGTTGTTGTTGTTGTTGTTCGCAGGTCAAAGCAGAGCAGGGCCATAGCTGTAGAAAGTTCTGGCCTCTCAGGGATATTCCAGGCTTCCAGTTTCCTTTCCTTTTTTTATATAAAAAAAGTAAGCCTCTTGCCCAGAGATAGCCAATATGGTTCCTTCCAGATACTGGAACTCCCATCAGCCCCAGCCAGCTTGACTAGTGAGAATAGATTATGGGAAATGTAGTCCAATAATAGCTGGAGGAAACTGTGTTGGCTGTCCTTGCTCTAACCCTTTGACTTGTGGGGAGATATGGAAAACTATGCAGCCGGTATTCTATCCAATAGATAGAATTGTTACTGTGAGAAAATGATATTTCCCCAGGGTTCCAGGCAATGAATACAAAGTCACCAGGACAATGGTTAGGTACATTCGTATATTGTTTTGCAACCAGGATCCGTTCTGGAGCCCAGCCGCTAGCTGAAAAGGACTCAGGGCAAAGCACCGCGTCTGCACATGTGCACCGTAGTGGTTTGTGCTTCTGCGCATGCGCAAAACGTGATTTAGTGCTTCTGCACATGTGCAAGCGGCAAACCCGGAAGTAACCCATTCCGGTACTTCTGGGTTTGCCGCGGACATTCACTGGAATGGACACTGGACGAGGCAGACGTTCACGGAGGTATTACTGTATTAGGCTTATTTGTGTTTGCAATTTTTTGTAAATGATTTTATTAACATTGAATACAATCAAACATGTTTATAAACACTTTAGGTTCCCTGTGCAGAGGCTCTGGAAGTTCCTCAATTATTCCCCGCCTCCCTCCTCCTCCCCTGTGGCTATAGGCCTGTAGAGGAAGTTTGGGCTGAAGGAGGTTTTATGTTTTTTAGAAAAATTAAAACCTGGGTCTGAAATGGACAAGGCTACCCATCATTTTTTGAGCAGAGCCCATCCTGCCTTGACAGTCACCTCTGGTCCTTCTGTAGTTAAGACATTCTTTGTCAAGATTCGCCCACATGGTCCTGGGGAACTTTCAGGCAGAACTATGTGTGATGAAGCACATTTGAGGTTTCCAACCCTATGTTTCTTTTCCCCTTTTGACTAGTATGCTTATGTGAGGCAGGAGGACATTTGAAGGAGAGAATCAGTGAGGAACCCTCTTCCAGCAAATACCGTATTTTTTGCTCTATAAGACTCACTTTTTCCTTCCTAAGAAGTAAGGGGAAATGTGTGTTCGTCTTATGGAGCGAATGCAGGCTGCGCAGCTATCCCAGAAGCTTGCTGTTCTGGCTTCTGGGATTCAGAATATTTTTTTTCTTGTTTTCCTCCTCCAAAAACTAAGTGCGTCTTATGGTCTGGTGCGTCTTATAGAGCGAAAAATATGGTGAATGCCTAGAAATAAACTGCATTGACAAAAGTATCTGTCAGTTTCAGTGTTTTCAGTTTTCCTGTCTTAAGTTGTTTGCCCATTTCTGCATCAGTCTGCAAATATTTTCTTAAAAAAACAAACAACAACAAAAAAACCTTGCACATTTCTCCTAACGCACGTTTTGGTACACATTTCTGCCTAATGTATGCCTTTTTGCAAGGCATGTCCCTTAATGCAAGGCATTTGTGTATATTATCTTCACTAATATACACATGTGTGTTTGTGTGTAAGAAAGAGAGTTATACTTTTATGCAGGTTTTCAGGGTTTGCTAAATTCCAGATCTCGCCACATGAGGGCACATTCCGAAAAGAAGTCCAGGCCAAAATAACAAGAAAATGTCACTTTGCAGAAGTGGAGCTAGATCCCAGATATGTTTATATGTACATGCACCAAAGTTTTTTAATCTCATTTTGGTGGTAAAAAAATGACCAGATGGACAGCCATACTAGCAATGGGAATTTTTCCAGGACAAAAATAAACATGAGGATCAGGCCTTAATTGCATTGAGATGAGCTGACAAGGCTTAAATAATCAATTTCTGGCAACACACATACACAACACTAGGAGGAGGGAGAAATTCGATTTTATTTGCACTTTAATGAGAAACTACCTAACTCACACTTCTCAAAACAATGTGAGGACCGAAACACAGTCATGCTTCAAAAGTCACACTTCTCTGAATTTTGTAGTGCAATTCTCCAGCCAAGTAATGTGTACAAAAAGGCATAAACTGGTGGGGTATAAATAAATTATTATTATTATTATTATTATTATTAAACGAGAGTAAAGTAAGCATAAAAACACAGATATTAGTGAAAATAACATACAAAAATGCATTATATTAGGGGGGATTGCTTTGCAAAAACATGTAAATTAGGCAAGATTTCATTCAAAACTGTGTATATTAAGGGGAAATGTTCTCTAAAATGCTAAGGAAGGACTTGTTTAAAAAAACAGAAGAACAATTGGAAGCTGCTGTGGAAATGCGGAAAACTTAACTTAAGATTGAGGAGAGAAACTGAAAGTGGCAGATTCACCCATCCCTACTTGGGAGAAAGCCTCATTGAACTCAGTGGGCTTACTTCTAAGCAAGCATGCATAGGACTGCAGTGTAAAACAGTGGCGGGCAGCAGGTAGCTTGGAATCTCCTGATAGATCTTTGGATGATTTGCAGTAGATCAAGAAGATTTTCTGAATTTTGGCTTTCTAACAATAGTAGCGTCTAAAAGGCTTCCTCCCTACCTTAAATTAAGGGGCTGAGAAACACAGAATGCGTGGGGAGGGAAGAAGAGTCAGATTTTTTCCTGGGCTGAGCAGGTACTCAGAAGTAGCCTGCCCTGCTTTTTTGAAATGTGAGAGGCTATTCTGCACCTGGTTCCAATTCATGAACCTTGTGGTTCTAGTAAAACAAATGAACCTATATGGAGTAAGGCAATCTCACAAGTAACCTTGTCCCAAGTTGTACAAGAAATAGAAGTGTAGAAGTCTTTCTTTTTGAAAATGATGCCACTTAACATGGAGATAGTCCAAATACGTAAATAAATGCATCCATTCATTCTGGTTTTTCCCCTTCTCGTGGGAAGGTTTATCAATGCCCGGCGACGTATCCTGCAGCCCATGCTTGATGCAAGCAACCCAGATCCTGCTCCCAAAGCCAAGAAGATCAAATCTCAGCACCGGCCTACGCAGAGATTTTGGCCCAACTCCATTGCGGCTGGAGTACTGCAGCAACAAGGAGGCAACCCCGGTACTAACCCTGATGGTAAGAATTTGATGTGTGGCTGCAACCCTCAGTTGGCTTTTTGATTCTGTTGACCAGGCATAGGCAACCTCGGCCCTCCAGATGTTTTGGGACTACAACTCCCATGATCCCTAGCTAACAGGACCAGTGGCCAGGGATGATGGGAATTGTAGTCCCAAAACATCTGGAAGGCT